CACAATCTTTCTCTCTCTAATTTACTTTCTAAATAGACTATATTTCCAACCTAACTTCTGTGCAATTCTTTGCATATTTTGGTGGCACCAGATCCCAGACACCAGTCACTCACTGGCGTGCCTGACGTAATGCACTCATTGTTACTTTCTAATATTACTACTAAAATGTCAGTAAATATGTTGACTACTAATAATATAATACTCATTACCAACTCATGACACATTATATTTCTTTGCCTTTTACTTTCACTTACCTATATTTACTCTAAGTCCTCAAGTTTTTTGAATTTCTGAAAGACTTCTTTTTATTTGAATGCTCTATATGTCAACCTTACTCGAAGTTTATCTCAAGGGTCAGATCCTCTAATAGTTAGGGATAGCTTCCCCAGAAGGAGGCATTTAAACTCAACATTATTTCTTTGGCTCAAACACCAGTGCTTACAACACCTGCAATGTATCTCTCTAAGAGGACCTTCAATGTAGTCTCATGAAATCAACTTAAAGTTCCCTTTAGAATATTAACAGCAATAGCCACTTCCTACTGATCAATTAGACTGATAACCTTTCTTACAATTATAGATGTGAAATTAAAACAAATCAAAACCAAAATTAAAAGCCCAACCATAGACGTACACTGCAGTTTGAAGACCTTGATGCAGCAGAGTGCAAAGTCACAGTCAGGAAAGAAGCCAGGTTTCCCTCAACCTAGAAAAGGCTACCAAGCTCTACTAAGAAATCAAATGAAAATTGTCATTTGACTTTTCTTCATCAAACTTCTCAGTCAAAAAGTATATAACACACTGTCATCACACTTTGAATATATGATATGCTTTATATAAATGTCACTTATGTAATAGGCAAATAATACTTTACATGGGTAGGTAACTTGCCACCTACAAAGTGATTTACTTTTTTTTTTTTTTTTAGAAAGATGCTTCCTTTTTTTATTTTAAAAATGTAGGGTACAATTCAGTATTAGGTGTATATAAGTGTCATCATACAGGTAAAGTTTGGGCCTTCTTTTGGTTCCCGCTTTGCCTGGTTTGAGATCTGGTACCCTTATTGATGTTTTGCCCTCCCCCCCTCAAGTGATTTCATTTCCACAACTAATTTGATCTTCACAAATACCCCCAATGAAGATAGGCAATTGGCTATTATTTACAAATTACAAATGAAAACAAATAGATAATTATAAATTATTTGCTCAACATCATTAAAAATCCTCTGATTCCCACCCAAATCAATGCTCTTTTTACATTTTATAATGCCAGTAATATGAACCAGAAGATTTTCAAAAGAATAGTGATTTTTGGCCAGGTGCAGTGGCTCCTGCCTATAATCCTAGCACTTTGGGAACCCACAGGTTCGAGAACACCCTAGGGAACTTGGCAAGACCTCATCTCTAAATCAAAAATTTAGTCAGGCATGGTGGTGCAGGCTATAGTTCCAACTACTTGGAAAGCTGAGGCAGAAGGATCACTTGAGCCCAGCAGGTCAAGGCTGCGGTGGCTGTGACCGTGCCACTGCACTCCAGCCTGGGTAACAGAGTGAGATTCTGACTCAACAATAAAAATAAATAGTGATTTTTGGCTTCCTGTGATGACAGAAAAAAAGATATAACTCACTTTCTTATTTTCTAATACTTCCTTAGAAAATTCTATATGCCCTTCAGGAGGTTTCCACACGTTAAATGCCCTTAAAAAAAAAATTGCTTAATTTATCAGTTGCACACTATAGGCCTAAATTTCATCTTAGAATTCAAATCGAGAGATGATTTCACTAAGTTTATCTGGTGCAATACATAGGAAATAACTTTTTGAAACTAGATGTTTTAATCTAGTCAAAATTGCAGAACTGCAAGGAAGGAAATGCTTAAAAATGTAATCCTTATGACATAGAAAAAGGCAACTTCCTCACCTTCACCACACACAAATACAAAAACAATTCAGCCTCCAGCAACTCTGCATTGTTAGATGAGTCTGCATTTTCAGTTTTAAAATACGCTGAGTTTACCAGACCTTGCTTCTGTGTCCCTGTTAACATGTTCAAAAACTACAACTTTTGTGATTTTAGCAATTCATACTTAAACTAAATTTTAAAAGTCTTTATTTAACTTAGATAAGTAAACAATTAAACAATCGAGACAACAATACTGTGGAAGGAGTTAGTAAATCAGACATGTTAATCAATTATGAATATTTCTTATGCCCTGCGAAGGGACCCAAAACCCAGTAACATATTACACTAACACAGTACACAAAATACACAAAATTATAAGGTAGAAAATAGTGAAAAGAAGCCAGGCACAGTGGCTCACGCCTGTACTCCCAACACTTTAGGAGGCATAGACGAACAGACTGCCTGATTCCAGGAGTTCAAGACCTGCCTGGGCAACTTGGCGAGACCTCGTCTCTACAATAAATCAAAAAATTAGCCAGGCATAGTTGCGTATGCCTATGGTTCCAGCTACTTGGAAGGCTGAGGCAAAAGGATCACCTGAACTCAGCAGGGCGAAGCTGCAGGGGCTGTGAGCATGCCACTGCACTCCAGCCTGGACAACAGAGACTCCGACACACACACAAAAAAATAATAAATTCATATAGTCTGTAGATGCAGTAACAGAGGTTTTGCCTGTGTTTTTACTGTTGTTACTTATTGGTTTTTTAAAGTAATGTTTAGGCAAGGCGTGGTGGCTCAGGCCTGTAATCCCAGCATTTTGGAAGGCCGGAAGTGGGAGGATGCTTAAGTCGGGAGTTTGAGAATAGCCTGGGCAGCATAGTGAGTCCTCATTTTCACAAAAATTCAAAAAATTAGTCAGGCAAGCACGCCTGTAGTCCCAGCTACTCGGGTGGCTGGGAAGGGAGGCTTGCTTGAGTTCAGGAGTTCAAGGTTGCCTGCCATCACAATCGAGACTGGGCAACAGAATGAGACCCACAATGCCCTGAAAATAATGTTCATGTAGTTGAAATTGCTGCATTCTATTTTTTTGCCCAGTGGATTTTCCAGTAAAAACCGAAATAAATGTTAGACAAATGCTAAAAGAGCTGTAACAATTACATTCCTCTCTTAAAGGTTTTTCTACAGAAAATTTGGAAAATACAAAAAAGTACCAAAAAAATCATTTGTAGTTTCACTATCTAGTGAACATTAGTTTAAAAAAACCAGTAAGTGTGCTCGCTTCGGCAGCACATATACTAAAATTGGAACGATACAGAGAAGATTAGCATGGCCCCTGCGCAAGGATGACACGCAAATTCATGAAGCGTTCCATATTTTAAAAATAAATATAAAAATAAAAAACCAATAAGTAACAACAGTAAAAAACACAGGCAAAACCTCTGTTACTGCATCTACAGACTATAAGCACTTTCAAAACTGTGAATATCCTTTGTCATTTCCTCTTTTTTTTATTTTGAGTCAGTCTCACTCTGTTGCCAAGGCTGGAGTGCAGTGGCATGAGTACAGCTTACTGCAGGCGCCACGTTCTGGGCTCAGGTGATTCCTCCACCTCAGCCTCCTGAGTAACTGAGACTACAGGTGTGGGTCACCGCCCCCATCTAATTTTTGGATTTATTGTAGAGACAAGGTGTTGCCAAGTTGCCCAGGTAATTCTGTAGTCTCAACCTCCCAAAGTGCTGGGAGTACAGGCGTGAGCCACCGCACCCAACCCTTTGTCATTTCTAACTGAAGTGTGTTCACTTCTCATTCTGTGGTTTACTTGACAAAATTTGAATTACGCTATTTTCTAACCTGTTTTCATTTAAGAATAATTATTTCCCACACCCTTAAATAGCATTTGGGACTGATTTTTAATAGTTTTTTTGATTGGAATCCCATTCTCGGCGTAAAAGGGTTAAAATTATGCATTAATATAATACCCTCGCCGGGTACAGCGGCCCATGCCTGTAGTACCAGCACTTTGGGAGGCGGAGGCGAGAGGGTTGCCTAAGTCCAGGGTTTCGAGACCAGCCTGGGCAACTTGGCGAGACCTCGTCTCTACAATAAACCAGAAAGTTAGCCGTGTTTGGTGGCGCGTGCTTATGGCTCCAGCTAGTTGGTAGGCTAAGGTGAAAGGATAGCCTGAGCCCAGCACGTCGAGGTGGCCCTGAACGTGCCATGCATTCCAGTCTGGGCGAGAGTGAGACTCCCACTCAAAAATAAAATAAAAGTGTCATTTCAAGCACTATCCAGTAGATGTGATCTCACTGGAGGAGGCAAATCTAAAATTTGCTGTGCTAAAGGAGTTACCTATTTTAGCTACAAGAGAGCCCTTAAAAAAGGTAGAGCAGGATAATGCAAATGTCACCACTTAAGAAAAGACTTTAGTTGGGTGAGTTCATTAAAATCGGCGTTCCCGAGGGCAGTAAACAGAGATAAGCAAGTACCGCGTCCCAGGCGCAGCGTGGGACATCTGCTACCGAGGACGAATCGATTAGGGAGACCGAGGCTAACGGGCGCCCGCGGAGGCGGAGAGGGGAAGGGAAGGCTATCTGACCACGATCAGGCTGGCGGACGAGCCTAGGTCTCAGCTGGAGTATTTAGCATTTAATCTTTCTATTTCTGACATCGCGAAGCTCAAACGTCACTAAAAAAAGATAGGCTGGCAGAAAAGCCGGCAGGGTGACGCACGTAACGTTTTACCATATGGATTCTCTTCATCAAGAGCGAGAAGCGTCCAAGCCGCCAGGGAGGGAGGGAGGGTGCTCTCGGCCGTCGGCTCCCCTCGTCCGGCGTACACCTCGGGGCTGCACGCGGGCTTCTGAGGCTGCGGAACCCCCAGACCAGACGCCTCAGGGGCCGGCGAGGGCCGCGAGGTCGCCCGCGCGGCCGCTGGCGCCTGGTGCCAGGGATCAAGCCCCCGCCCGAGCAGCCCCCGCCTAGGAGGAGGGAGACCCCCACCGCTGCCCCCGCGAGGCGGCTGAGCCGAGAGTGTCGGCCAAGGTCTCCGACAGTCTGCCACTGACCCTCCCTCAGGGTCTAAAACCCACTCAGTACAGTACCTGAAGGGGCAGCGCCACCTCCGCCCGGCGGCGCCAGCTGTCACGGTGGCGGCGGTCACAACGCCGGGCGCCCGTGACGCCTCTCATAAAAACAACCTGCTCGCAGGCGTCCGCCTCCGAGAGGGAGCGCCCGGCAGTGCGCTGCAATGCATGCCGGGACTCGTAGTCCCGCTCGCGCCCCACGCCAGGCAGCGGCGGACGGAAGAACTACGACTCCCGAGGAAGAGCGCAGCCCGCCGTGGGGCGGTTGCAGGAAGCTGGGCCGGGCGGCCGCAGATCCTCACAACATCCGGGCCCTGGCGCCCGCGGCCAGTTGCTATGGATACGAGTGGCAACCTCTAGAAAGGATTCGCGGTTTCAGCCAGGAAAACAGCTCCCCGGATTAAACCGATAGGTTTATGTTGATTCAGCCAACGACTCCTCTCTCCGCTGCTTAATTGGTGCAGTTAAAAGGCCGCGTCCCTGAGCACTCGCGGGCCTTCTTGCCATCTGTTGCACGAAGTTTGCCGAAAAAATTATCAAAGAAAATAGCGAGAATGACAGACCTCGACTGGGTGAGTTTAGACAGAGAGCTAGATGTTTTTAAATTTTGGTATTCGATGGTGTAGTTCTAGGCACCACCTACTCACACCCACCCCACCCCCAAAAAGACACTCTACTGGGAAACCACTGAGCTTTTACATTTGCAAATGTAAATGCACGTTTCATTAAGTCAGAATTGCCTCTGAAGTTATAAAGACGATCGGAACGGTATGCACCGGTACCCCGCTGCAAACTGTCTAGGGATGGTCTTGAACAAGAAAAACGTACTTCCTTAATTGTACATTTATTTACATTGTGCCTTGCCCAAAACAGATATGGGAAAGAAAATACGGTGCATTTACACTCCCTGTTAATGGAAACAATGGAAAGTTACGGTTTAACTGTTCTCTAATTATGGCAAAAGTAAATACAATAAATGAAAAAGGAAAATATTAACGAGGAAGATGGTGGGCCTGAACAGAGACAAAGGAGTGCCTCAAAATTAGACTTTCTTTATCTTTTTGCTTTTGTATTAACTGTAATAACACCAACTGTGAGACACCACCAAAAAAAATTTTTTTTGTCTGAGTAGGAGTCTCATTCTGTTGCCCAGGCTAGAGTGCAATGGCACAGTCATGGCCACTGCAGCCTCGACCTGCTGGGCTCAGGAGATTCTTCTGCCTCAGCCTTCCAAGTAGCTGGAACTACAGGTGCAAGCCACCACGCTCAGCTAATTTTTAATTTATTGTAGAGACGAAGTCTTGCCCTGTTGCCCAGGCTGGTCTTGAACCCCTGGGTTCAGGCAATCCTCTTGCCTCCGCCTCCCAAAGTGCTGGGATTACAGGCCAAAAAACAAAAATTAATTAATTTTATGATTACAGTTTCTAGAATGGGCACTTTTATTATTCAGTGGCTTGCTTTTTCTCTTTTCTTTGTTTTGTTTTGTTGTTTGTTTGCTTTT